AAAACTAGCCTGGCATGTGGGTGCACAGCCTGATAGTCCCAGCTTTACTCGGGAGGCTAAGCGCAGGAGGAATTCGTTAAACCCGCGGTGAGGTAGAGGCTGCATGAGCCAAGATCCGCATCCCTGCATTCTCAGCCTGCGGTGACCGAGTGAGGACTCTGTCTTAAAAACAAACAACAAACAAAAAAACCCAACTACGCTGTGTCTCCCTTGAAGAAACTAATAAATGGGACCCGAACTAACTCCGGCTCTGTATTTCACTTACATATTCTTCACTAATCACATGTCTTGGCAGTACCCATATATTTTTTTTTGTTTCTTCTCCGAGACACGGAAAATCTAGCCTTCTGTTGCCCCAGGCTGGAGTGACCAGATTTTTTGGATGCGATCTTGGCTCACTGCAAGCTCCACCTCCCAGGTTCAGGCCATTCTCTTTGCCTCCACCATCCTGAGTAGCCTGGGACAACAGGCGCCCTGCCACCACACCTGGCTAATTTTTTGTATTTTTTAGTAGAGATGGGATTTCACCATGTTACGCCCAGGATGGTCTCGATCTCCTGACCTCATGATCTGCCCCACCTCGGCTTCCCAAAATGCTGGGAATTACAGGCGTGAAGCCACCGCGCCGCCCCTTTTGTTTTTGAGACGGAGTCTTGCTCTGTTTGCCAGGCTGGAGGGCAGTGGGCGCAATCTTGGCTCACTGCAAACCTCCACTTGCCAGGCTGGAGGGCAGTGGCGCAATCTTGGCTCACTGCAACCTCCACCTGCCATATTTCAAAGCCACTATTATTTCCTTAGTGATCAGAAACCATTTTCATAATTAGATTCAACTAGTTTTCAGATTAAGTATATGTAGTCTCTCACTTTTCAAAGTAATTTATTGCTTGTGTGAATGTGAAGAATGTCCATAATCAGGTAGGACCCTCTGATATTGTTAGATGGGCAGAGTTAATAAAAATTAGAAAGTTGTCAGATTTTCTAAGCTGTAAACACTAAATCTGTCTTCAAGTCAAAATAAATCCATTGTGTAACTTAGTATTACAGCTTATAATAATTCTCTTTGCAGCAAAGCAGTGAATAAGGAGTATGAAGAGTATGTTCTAACTGTTGGTGATTTTGATGAGAGGATCTTTTTGGGGGCAGACGCAGAAGAGGAAATTGGAACACCTCGAAAGTTCACTGGTGACACCCCATTAGGGAAACTGACCGCACAGGCTAATGTGGAGTATAACCTTCAACAACACTTTGAAAAAGTAATATAACCTAGCCTGGCCTCAATCTTGAATGATCTTTTTCTCTGTGTGTCTGATTCTACTAACAGCAGAAGCATCTTTCAAGTTAAATCTTGAGTTTCTTCTACTAATTCATATTTCCCATGAAAGCCTTAAAAGGTAATTTTTAAAACTGGCATTTAGTATTTTTACCTTATTTCTTACTATTTTCATATTTTATATCCATTTTCCCAGCATGCCTGGGTTTATTAGTAGAGTATATGTCTTTTGGCATGAAGAGGAAGTTTTCCTTTCTTACCGTTCTTTCTTTGCTTCAACTTAGCCTCTGTTACATTGCTTTAAATTTTAGCTTGCTTTCCTACCCATGACACAAACTATGTGTTTTTCTATAACTTCAGCCATAAAACTCTGGACTTGATTGTTAATGGCCAAGGCTTAACCCTGTATCTATGTGTAAAATGGGTTGGAGGAAGAGATCTAATGGAAAATTCACTTGTCTAGAACATAGTAAAACCTAAGTTTTTGTCCAAGCTTTGACATTAACTTAGTCAACTGAAACAAGTTTTTAAATTTCTCTGTTCCTATTTCCTCATATATAAAATTAAAGTATGTATACATTATCTTTCAAATCAGTGGTGTGAAGATTAAATGAAATTATAGGTAGAAAGTGCTTTAAAAAAGTGTTATTCAAATATAAGGATGTTATTAGCATAGTATTGCTAAAAATTTCATGAATATTTTAAATATGAGTAGAGAAGATGGTAAATGCACTGAATTAAACACATAATAAGGAAGATGGTAACTTTTAAAAACTCACAGATTTTTCTTTTCTGACAGAAAAGGTCATTTGCACCTTCTACCCCTCTGACAGGACGGAGATATTTACGAGAAAAAGAAGCAGTCATTACTCCTGTTGCATCAGCCACCCAAAGTGTCAGCCGGTTACAGAGTATTGTGGCTGGTCTGAAAAATGCACCAAGTGACCAACTTACAAATATTTTTGAGTATGTATAATACTGTTATTTTTTCAAATGTCTTTTTAAAATTAGATTTCTTATTCCATTCTGTTTTTAGTATATTCAGAATTCTCAAGATAGTGGATGTTCATCTGGCAAGTTTTACTATACCATTTCAATCACAAAATATATTGACCTAAAACCATATTGAAGTACCTATTAAAAATTATGTATAACAGTCGGGCACAGTGGCACACACCTGTAGTCCCAGCTACTTGGGAAGCTAGTTTGGCCAACATAGTGAGACTAATTCCAGCTTGGCCAAGATAGGGAGACCTTATCGCTCCCTTTTTTTTTTTTTTTGAAACAGGGTCTCGCTGTCTCCCAGGCTGGAGTGCAGTGCCGCAATCACAGCTTACTGCAGCCTCCACCTCCTGGGCTCAAGCAACTCTCCCACCTGAGTCCCCCAAGTAGCTAGAACTACAGGTGCAAGCCACCATGCCTAATTTTTTATATTTTTTGTAGAGACAGGGTTTTGCCATGTTGCTCAGGCTGATCTTGAACTTCTGAGCTCAAGTGATCCAACTGCCTTGGCCTCCCAAAGTGCTGGGATTACAGGCATGAGCGACCATGCCAGGCCAACCTTGTCTCTTAAAAATAATTATATATAATGTTATTTCATGGGAGTATAGACTTTTAGAGATAAGTGTACCTTAAAGATTATTTAGCACTGATATTTCACTCTTTAACTACCCCTGAGTTATGCATGTTTTGATTTTACATTGACTTTATTTTTTAATTTATTTTTATGTTTGTTTCTAAAGATCACCTCTATAAGGGCATACATTAATTTTAAATGGGGACATTCTAAATGTCCATTAGATTCTAAATGTCCATTAGATAGGGGACTAATTGCATATTGGTGGTACAGCCATAAAAATGAAATTATTTATTTATTTATTTTTGAGACAGAGTTTTGCTCTTGTTGCCCAGGCTGGAGTGCAATGGCACAATCTCAGCTCACTGCAACCTCTGCCTAGTGGGTTCAAGCGATTCTCCTGCCTCAGCCTCCTGAATAGCTGGGATTACGGGCATGCGCCACCATGCCCGGCTAATTTTGTATTTTTAGTAGAGATGGGGTTTCTCCACGTTGGTCAGGCTGGTCTTGAACTCCCGACCTCAGGTGATCTGCCCTCCTGGGCCTCCCAAAGTGCTGGGATTATAGGCATGAGCCACCATCCCCAGCCCATAAAATGGAATTTTATACAGGTTTTTTTTTTTTTTTTTTGAGATGGTGTTTCACTCTGTCGCCCAGGCTGGAGCGCAATGGCACAATCTCAGCTCACTGCAACCTCTGCCTAGTGGGTTCAAGCGATTCTCCTGCCTCAGCCTCCTGAATAGCTGGGATTACGGGCATGCGCCACCATGCCCGGCTAATTTTGTATTTTTAGTAGAGATGGGGTTTCTCCACGTTGGTCAGGCTGGTCTTGAACTCCCGACCTCAGGTGATCTGCCCTCCTGGGCCTCCCAAAGTGCTGGGATTACAGGCTTGAGCCACCGAGCCCGGACTTTTTCTTTTTTGAGGAAGCATGATTCCTGGTAAAGATGGTAGAATGAAGCCAGATCAGAGAACCTTCTTTCCTAATACCTAATAAAATAAGAGAATAGTAAAAACCAGCAAAATATTTATCAGTGGCAACCAAATGAGGAGAGACAGATGATTTCATGACATAAATTTCCAAAGTAGAGATCAAAAAGAAAATTGATGATTCTGGTATCCCTATCCCTAAGTAGTGTTGGAGAAAGAGGGTATAGTGATAGATCTTGAGAATGCTCATCAATACTTCAGATTTGGAGAGAAACAAATGGGGGAGCAGGCAGACAGATAAAAAGTCATACAAATCTCCCCAAGTGAAAAGTTTATATGTACCACCACCAAGATCCCAGCAGAATATAAATAACTGCCAAGGGCTGCCATTTTCCAACATTCCATGATGATATGGGGGAGAGATCCTCATATAACTAGACGTCCCTGACTAGGAATGGTGAACCCTGGAATGGGAGTATTTAACTAAATCTCAGAAGACAAAGCAAAACCCTACTTCTCCAAGAAAAGCTGAACATAGCTGAGCTCTCCCCCATTCCTCAAACGTTCGGGATACAAGAAAGTAGACGGAACAATCTCCAGCCTCAGAAATAGCTCGGAAGAAAAGCATACTGCCGGTAAGGTAGGAAGACTGTCCTGGATCTACCTTCCATATCATTTGAGTAAATAGATCTGGATTGAACTACTGTTCAAACATGAGTAAGTTGAAAAGCAGTGACAAAGCAACTATACAAATACGTCAATAAGGGAAAAGAAGGAAGTACAGAATGCAAAAGAAAAAAAAGTCTAGACACAAATGGCAACACTGGGTGTTGTGGTTCATGCCTGTAATTGCAGCACTTTGGGACGCTGAGACAAGAGGATCAGTTGAGCCCAGGAGTTTAAGACCAGCCTGAGCAACATGATGGGACCCTGTCTCTCAGAAAAAATTTAAAAATTAGTCATGGTGATATGCATTCCAGCTACTTGGGAGGCTGAGATAGGAGAGTCGCTTGAGCTCAGCCTTGATCACACCATTGTACTCTAACCTGGGCAACAGAGCGAGACCCTATCTCAAAAAAAAAAAAAAAGAAGAAAGACATCTGTGTTGGTGGACTGGAAGAGTTAATATTGTTAAGATATCTATATTAGAGGCCAGGTGCAATGGCACATATCTGTAATCCCAGGACTTTTTGAGAGGCCAGGGTGGGTGTTTTGCTTGAGCTCAGGAGTTTGAGACTAGCCCGGGCAACATAGCAAGACCTCATCTTTACAAAAAACAAAATAAATAAAACTTAGCCATTGTGGCCATTGTTTGTTTGTTTGTTTGTTTTGGAATGTAGTCTTGCTCTGTCACCAGGCTGGAATGCAATGACGTGATCTCGGCTCACTGCAAACTCTGCCTCCCAGGTTCAAGCAATTTTCCTGCCTCAGCCTCTAGCTGGGACTACAGGCACCTGCCACTATGCCCAGCTAATTTTTGTATTTTTAGTAGAGATGGGGTTTCACCATCTTGACCAGGATGTTCTCAATCTCCTGAGCTCATGATCCTCCTGCCTTGGCCTCCTGAAATGCTGGGATTATAGGCATAAGCCACCACGCCCAACATTTTTTTTTGTTTTGTTTTGAGAGAGTTTCGCTCTTATTGCCCAGGCTGGAGTGCAATGGCTCGATCTCAGCTCACTGCAACCTCCACCTCCCAGGTTCAATTGATTCTTCTGTCTCAGCCTCCCAAGTAGCTGGATGACAGGCATGCACCACCATGCCCGGCTAATTTTTTTGTATTTAGTAGAGATGGGGATTTACCATGTTGGTCAGGCTGGTCTTGAACTGCTGACCTCAAGTAATCCACCACCTTGGCCTCCAAAAGTGCTGGGATTACAACAGGCGTTAGCCACCAGGCCTGGCCAATTTTTGTATTTTTAGTAGAGACAGGGTTTCACCATGTTGGCCAGGCTGGTCTCCAACTCCTGGCCTCAAGTGATCTGCCCACCTTGGCCTCCCGAAGTGCTGGGAATATAGGTATGAGCCACCATGCCCAGCCTCAAACCTGAAAGCTTTAACATAGCAAAGAAAACAATCAACAGAGTAAAAAAACAGCCTATAGAATGGGAAAAGTAATTGTAAACCGTATATTAGATGAGGGGTTCATACTCAGAATATGTAAAGAACTCCTAAAACTCAAGAACAACAAATAACTCAATTTTAAAATGTATAAAGGATTGAGTAGATATTTCTCCAAAGAATATATGCAACTGGCCAAAAGCATATGAAAAAAATATCTGATATCACTTATCAGGGAGTTGCAAATCAAAATCACAATGAGATAATACCTCACATATCAGCATAGCCACTTCCCACTCATCACCCCAAAAAACCCAAAATAGCAGGTGTTGGTAAGGATGTGGAGAAATAGGAACCCTTACACACTGTTAGTAGAATTGTAAAGTGGTGCAGCCACTATGGAAAACAGTATGGAGGTTCCTCAAAAAATTAAAAATAGAAGTACCATATGACTCAGCAATACCACTTCTGGGTATACATCCAAAAGAATTAAAAACAGCATCTCAAAGGGATATTTGCACGTCATATTCACTGCAGCATTATTCCCAATAACCAAGATGTGGAAACACCTTAAGTGTCCATTGATAGAGAAAGAAAATACTGTGTGTGTATTTGTGTGTGTGTGTATATATATAGATACACATATAGATATAGATATGAGATGAAATATTATTCAGCCTTATAAAAGAAGGAAATCCTGCCATTTGCTACAACATGGATGAACCTTTAGTACATTATGTTAAGTGAAGTTAGTCAATCACAAAAAGACAAAATACTGCATGATTCCACTCATATAGGGTACATAGTATGGTCAAACTTACAGCAGCAAAGTTATATTACATGTGTATACAATCTGTATTTTTATTATGTAATTTACATGTTAAAATATGTTATATAAAGCTTTGTTTACATATGTAGATTTCCAACTGAGAATACAACTTTGGCTGCTAAAAACCAATTCTTTTTTTTTTTTTTTTGTCACCCAGGCTGGAGTGCAGTGGCCCGATCTCAGCTCACTGCAAGCTCCGCCTCCCGGGTTCACACCATTCTCCTGCCTCAGCCTCCCGAGTAGCTGGGACGACAGGCGCCTGCCACCTCGCCCGGCTAAGTTTTTGTATTTTTAGTAGAGACGGGGTTTCACTGTGTTAGCCAGGATGGTCTCGATCTCCTGACCTCGTGATCCGCCCGTCTCGGCCTCCCAAAGTGCTGGGATTACAGGCTTGAGCCACCGTGCCCGGCCAAAACCAATTCTTGAAAGAAGGCATGTTGGCCGGGCATGGTGGCTCACACCTATTACCCCAGCATTTTGGGAGGCTGAGGTGGGTGGATCACAAGGTCAGGAGATCTAGACCAGCTTGGGCAACATGGTGAAACCCATCTCTACTAAAACTACAAAAATTAGCCAGGTGTGGTGGTGCGCGCCTGTAATCCCAGCTACTTGGGAGGTTGAGATGGGAGAATCGCTTAAACCTGGGAGGCAGAGGTTACAGTGAGCTGAGGTCGCGTCATTGCACTCCAGCCTGGGCAACAGAGTGAGACCCCGTCTCAAAAAAACAAAAAAAAAGAAGGCACGTTAATACTGTGGTGTAGAATTGTTTTTTTGTTTGTTTGTTTGTTTGTTTTTATAATTAGGGTCCTCTTGTATTTTGTAGATCTTGTGTGCGTAATCCTATGGAAAACATTATGAAAATACTAAAAGGAATGGGAGAGACTTTCTGCCAACACTATACTCAATCAACAGATGAACAGCCAGGATCTCACATAGGTAAGAAAAGAAAACTAAAGTTGGCATAGCATTGAAAATAAGTAATCCCCCCAAAATTAGAAATTCAAGTTTTTTCCTCTCCCGTTATTCTTCTTTCTTTTTTTTTTTTTTGAGACCGAGTTGCCCAGGCTGGAGTACAGTGACGCGATCTTGACTCACTGCAACCTCGTCCTCCCAGGTTCAAGCAATTCTCCTGCCTCAGCCTACCAAGTAGCTGCTATTACAGGCACCCACCACCACACCGGCTAATTTTGTATTTTTAGTAGAGACGGAGTTTCACCATGTTGGTCAGGCTGGTCTCAGACTCCGGACCTCAGGTGATCTGCTCTCCTAGGCCTCCCAGAGTGCTAGGATTACAGGTGTGAGCCACCACTCCCGGGCTACCCTGCTATTCTTAATGTATCAGATTTAAGTTTATGTATAATTTTTGCTTTTCAGTCCTTAACAACTAAAATTCATTAACACATGTTTTCTCTGTATTTCCCCAATAGACTTTGCTGTAAACAGACTAAAGCTGGCAGAAATTTTGTATTATAAAATACTAGAGACCGTAATGGTTCAGGAAACACGAAGACTTCATGGAATGGACATGTCAGTAAGTAAATCCACTCTCTGTGCTACCGGCAAGGTCCAAAAGTCGCAGCCTGGAAGCAGTGTTTTGAGAGGCTCTGTAAGGCACTGTGGGGGTCACCAATCTAGGACACACTTGGCCAGGATAACATTTAGTTGACTTTAGCACGTGCAAGGCTAATCACATCTAGGCAGATATGTGAAATAACATAAAGTTCATCTTTGGTACACATCAGTGTGTTTTAAGTTTTTTTTTTTGTTTTTTGTTTTTGTCCTTCATTCCCAGCTAGTGATCCCTCCATCTGTTAAAGCAACTGTTAGTTAAGACATTTGTCCATACCTTCCAAGGATTTTGGATTATAAAATGGTGGGGGGAGGGGGGGCGGTTTGTTTTGGTTCTTTAACTATTTGACCAAGTCAGACCACTCTCTCCAATAAGCTGTATAAAAGAATTTTTCTACAAATCCAAACCTATCATATGATCTTTGTTTCCTCTTCCTTCATTATTTCCCTCTGCAGGCAGTCTTGGAGTCTTCTAACTGTCTATCCCAATAGGAACAGGTTGATGTCTTAAGGATGCTGCGTAACTATTGTAATAGAATTTCTCTTTGTGTTTACCTGGAAATTTTTTTCATGTATTTTCTGTGTTGGTTTCTCTTTTTCCTGGATTCTGTGTCTTTCTCTTTCATAGTTTACACTAATAATCTTGATGGTGCATACAATCCCATGGCTTTCTGAGAAATAAGTGAATATACAATACATATATATATATACTATCAACTGTTAATATAGTATATATTTTAGACTCCGAGTCTCTGGCTCTGTCGCCTAGGTATGGACAGTCGCATGGCACGAATTCTGGCTCACTGCAACCCCCATCTCCTGGGTCAACGCGATTCTCCAGATGCTCAGCCTCCCGAATGTACGCTGGGGTTACAGGTGCCCACCACCGAACGCCCTGGCTAATTTTGTATTTTTAGTAAAGACAGGGTTTTACCCATGTTGGCCAGGCAGGTCTTTAACTCCTGACCTCAAGTGATCTGCCCGCCTCAGCCTCCCCAAAGTGCTAGGATTACAGCCACCTCCCCTAGCTGAAAGAAGGTAAATTTTTTAACTTTATTTTTTTTAATTTTTTAATTTTTATTTATTATTTATTTATTTTGATATGTAGTCTCGCTCTGTCGCCCAGGCTGGAGTGCAGTAGCACAATCTCAAGCTCACTGTAACCTCCGCCTCCTGAGTTCAAGCATTCTCTGCCACAGCCTTGCTCGACTAGCTGGAATCCCAAGATTCCAGGCAAGATTACAAGGCACTCGCCACCACCACTCGGCTAATTTTTTTGTATTTTTAGTAGAGACAGGGTTTCACCATCTTTGGCCAGGCTGGTCATTGAACTCCTGACCTCGTGATCCACCTGCCTCAGCCTCCCAAAGTGCTGGGATTACAGGTGTGAGCCACTGCACCCGGCCAACTTTTTATTTTGAAATAATTCCAGATTCACAGAAAGTTGCAAAAGTAGTACAGAGAAGTCCCACACATCCTACATCCAGTTTCCCCAATGGTTACAGTTTTATATACTGCAGTATCAGAACTGGGGAATTGACATTAAAACAGTGTGTATGTGTGTGTGTGTGTGTATAAAATTGTATCATATGCATAGATTATGTAACCATCACCAAAATAAAGATACTGAACTGTTAAAGATCTCCTTCCTGCTACCCGTTTATAGTTAGTTACACTTACTCCTCTCAGCCATTACTGTTTCCCACTTCTACATACTCTGTATGAATTCAATTCTTTTCAATTTGTTTTAGTTATTTTGTAGCCCAGGATATGGTTTATCATGGTGAATGTTCTGTGGCCACTTGAAAAGAATGTAAATCCTCACATTTAACCTTGTCAGTAGGTTCTTGGAAACAGTGACTTCAAGCAAAAACAACACACAATGAAACCAATTTTACCGTAGGCTAACTGATATAAGCAAGAGTTTAAGTTCCTTTGGCATATGTCTAGTCACAAAAACATCACCAAACTTCTAAATAAAGACAAAACACTTACAATGTTAAACGTTGAAATAAATAAGAGAAAGAGTAATAAAAATAAGGAAGATTATTACTTACCCAGTTATTCCTGTTCAGGGTCATGAGTGGCTGGAGCCTACCTCAGCAGCTCAAGATGAAAGGCGGGACCCAACCCTAGTCAGGACACCATTTCATCATAGGACACACACACCCCCACACTTACACTGTCACAATTTAGATACGTCAGTTAAGCTAATGTACATATCTTTGAAATGTAAGAAGAAACCAGAGTACCCAGAGAGAGCTCATGCAGACATAGGAGAATGTACAAATTTCATACAGTGGCCCCAGCTGGGAATCCGTTATTTTTCATTGTTATGACAAAATGATGTTGAGCGAAATGTTGTTATTCAAGGATCTACTGTATTCTGCTATGTTCGGATGGAGTATTCTGTAAATGTCAATTTTATCTTGTTGGTTGATGTTGTTATTTTATATTCTTCATGATTTCCAGTCTAGTTGTTATATCAGTTGTTGATAGAGGATGTTGAAGTATTCATGTATGATTGTAGATTTGTCTATTTCTTTCAAGTCTGTCAGCTTTTCTCCACATATTTTGAAGCTCTGCTGTTTGATGCTTACACATTTAGGATTGCTGTCTGCCTTCTTAATGAATTGACTCTGTAATCATTATAAAATGTTACTCCCTGGCCAGGCGCAGTGGCTCACGCCTATAATCCCAGCACTTTGGGAGACTGAGGCAGGTGGATCACCTGAGGTCAGTAGTTCGAGACCAGCCTGGCCAACATGGCGAAACACGGTCTCTACTAAAAATATAAAAGGCTGAGCATGGTGGCTTACAGCTCTAATCCCAGCACTTTAGGAGACCGAGGCAGGTGGATCACCTGAGGTCAGGAGTTCGAGACCAGCCTGACCAACATGGCAAAACCCCATCTCAACTAAAAATACAAAAATTAGCCAGGGGTGGTGGTGAGTGCCCATAGTCCCAGCTACTCAGGAGTTTGAGACAGGAGAATGGCTTGAACCCAGGAGGTGGAGGCTGCAGTGAGCCAAGATCGCACCACTGCACTCCACCCTGTGCAACAGAGTGAGACTCCATCTCAAAAAAACAAATAAATAAAAATACAAAATTAGCCGGGCATGGTGGCAGGTGCCTGCAATCCCACCTACTTGGGAGGCTGAAGCAGGAGAATTGCTTGAGCCCGGGAGGCAGAGGTTGCAGTGAGCCAAGATCACACCACTGCACTCCCGCCTGGAAGACAGAGCAAGACTGCATCTCAAAATAAATAAATAAGGCTGGACACGGTGACTCGCGCCTGTAATCCCAGCACTTTGGGAGGCCAAGCTGGGTGGATCACAAGGTCAGCAGTTCGAGACCAGCCTGGCCAACATAGTGAAACCCCGTCTCTACTAAAAATACAAAAATTAGCCAGGCATAGTGGCATGCACCTGTAATCCCAGCTACTCGGGAGGCTGAGACGGGAGAATCGCTTGAACCTGGGAGGCGGAGGTTGTGGTGAGCCAAGATTGCGCCACTGCACTCCAGCCTGGGCAACAGAGTGAGACTCCATCTCAAAAAAAAAAATTAAAAATTAAATAAATAAAATGTTCCTCTCTGTCCATGGTAATTTTCTTTGCTCTGAAATCTACCTGATGTTTATGCACAACCACTCCTGCCTTCTTTTCATTAATGTTTGCGTGGCATATTTTTTTTCATCCTTTTTCAAGTGATCTTTGAAGTGAATTTCTTATAGTCAGTATATAGTTGGGTCATTTTTTTTTCCTAATCTTTGCTAATCTCTGTCATTTAATTAGTAAATTTAGATGACTTACATTTAGTAATTGTTATGTTAGTGCTTAAGTCTGCCATTTTATTTTTGTTTTCTCTTTGTTCTAACTCTTTTTTTAAATTTTGTTTTCTTTTTCCTCCCTTCCTGTGGTAACTTGAACATTTTTTAGAGCCTTGTAAAGGTTTTTTTTTTATATAGATGTTTTGTATAGCCATTTAACTAATTTAAGTAAAGTATAGAAACCTTACCTCACTTAAAGTCCCTTTTAAAGATTTTGCATAAGTACCTTTATTTTAGACTCATAATTGGTTGATAGTTGTCTATGTACAGAATTCAAGATTGGTGGGAGAGGCCGGGTGCTGTGGCTCACCCCTGTAATCCCAACACTTTGGGAGGCCAAGGCAGGTGGATCACCTAAGGTCAGGAGTTCTAGACCAGCCTGACCAACATGGTGAAACCCTGTCTCTACTAAAAAATACAAAATTAACCAGGCGTGGTGGCACATGCCTGTAATCCCAGCTACTTGGGAGAGGCTGAGGCAGTATCGTTTTAACCCAGGAGACAGAGGTTGCAGTGAGCCGAGATCACGCCATTGCACTCCAGCCTGGGCAACAAGAGCAACACTCCATCTCAGACAAAAAAAGAAAAAAAGATTGGTGGGAGGCTGAGACAAGAGGATTGCTTGAGCCCAGGAGTTTGAGGTTGTAGTATGTACTGTATGTACACTGTGTAAGATGATTGTACTGTGAATAGCTACTGTACTCCAACCTAGGCAACATAACAAGACCCCATCCCTAAAAACAAAAAATTAACTTAAAAAAAGAAAATAATTTTAGACTGACAATCATTTTCCTTTATGAGTTTGAAGGCACTGTTGCATTATTTTCTATTATAAATTCCACTGTTACTAATGAGAAGTCCAGTGACATTCGCATTCTCACTTAGTAGTATGTGACCTGTTTTTTTTTCTGGAATCTTTATCTTTTATCACTGATATTCTTAAATTTGTAAAAATATATCTGACTGTGTTTTTTTCATTCATGTATTTGTCATTCCCACAGAGTTGCCCATTTAGTCTGGAAATTTATGCCCTGCAGTTTTGGTCATTTTATTGTGTTATTTCTTAGATGATATATTGCCCACTGATTTATCTTTCTGGAACTTTTATTTTTCAGATGATGGACCTTCTGAATTGACCTTCTTAATTTCTTCTCTTATTTTCCATTTCTTTATCTCTTTTATTCTACTTTTAAAGATATTTACTTAACTTTTCATCTCGTCCCAATGAACTTTTAATTTCAACTACATTTTCATTTCTCTTTCATGTTCTCTAAAGTTACTAATTTAGATTTATTTGAAGTTTTCTTAACTGCTTCACCTCTGTTTCTCCTGAATTTTTCTCCATTTTTCTCTCTTTCTTTTTTCTTTTTTTTTTTTTCTTTCTTTTTTTTGAGACAGAGTTTCACTCTTGTTGCCCAGGCTGGAGTGCAATGGTAAGATCTTGGCTTACCACAACCTCCACCTCCCAGATTCCAGCGATTCTCTTGCCTCAGTCTCCCGAGCAGCTGGGATTACAGGGATGCGCCACCACACCTGGCTACTTTTGTATTTTTAGTAGAGATAGGGTTTCTCCATGTTGGTCAGGCTGGTCTCCAACTCCTGACCTCAGGTGATCCACCCACCTCAGCCTCCCAAAGCGCTGGGATTACAGGTATGAGCCACTGTGTCCAGCCTTTTTTCTCTCTTTTTAAAAAATATTTTTAATTTTTTTAAAATGTTAGTTTATGTTTTTTATTAACTCGTACACAGTTACTTGATATCTGGTTTGTTGAAGCAGTAAGTCAGACATTTGCCACAATAATGTCTGTCAAAGTGACTTGCCATAAACACTCCAGCACCACATTCATCAGAAGGGCACTCTCGACGAAAGCAACTACTTTTGCCATTCTCATCTACCTTATAATATTTCAGGATAGCCAGCTTAACCTTCTTTCTTTCTCTTGTGCTTATTCTTCTTGGGAGTGGTGTAAGACTTCTTCCTTTTCTTAGCACCACCACGAAGTCTCAACACAAGATGAAGAGTAGACTCCTTTTGAATGTTGTAGTCAGACATCTTCCAACTGCTTGCCAGCAAAGATCAGTCTTTGCTGATCAGGAGGAATTCCTTCCTTATCCTGGATATTGGCCTTTACATTTTCTATTGTGTTCAAGGGTTCAACCTCAAGGGTAATGGTCTTCCCTGTAAAGGTTTTCACGAAAATCTGCATTTGCAGATAGCGGATCTTTAATTTTTTTGGCGGGGGAGGGGGACAGAGTCTCGCTCTGTCGCCCTGGCTGGAGTGCAGTAGCGTGATCTCGGCTCACTGTAAGCTTCGCCTCAACGGATTCAAACGATTCTCCTGCCTCAGCCTCTTGAGTAGCTGGGATTATAGGCATATGCTACCACGCCCAGCAAATTTTTGTATTTTTTGGTAGAGATGGGGTTTTACCATGTTGGCCAAGCTAGTCTCGAACTCCTGACCTCAGCTAATCCACCCACCTCGGCCTTTCAAAGTGCTGGGGTTACAGGCGTGAGCCACCGCACCTGGCTTTTTTTTTTCTTTTTTTTTTTAGTACGATGGTGTCTCGCTATGTTGCTCAGGCTAGTGTCAACTGCTGGGTTCAAGTGATCCTCCTGCCTCAGCTTCCCAAGTAGCTGGGACTACAGGTACATGCTGCTGCACCTCGCTTTTCTGTTTGTTTTGACCTATGTTTTTCAGTTAAGAGGTTTTCCTCAAATGTCAGATAATTCTTGGTTGTCCACTTAAATTTGAATGAGACACAAAAACTTGTGTTCAAAGCTGTGTGAGTGAGGCAGTAAAAGTTTGTTTCAAAGCTCTTTTATTTCAAGAGTGGAAATAAAAAGTCCATTGACCTCAAATGATCACAGAGTGTTAGAGAATCTCATCTGCTGGTGCCCATAAAACTTTTCTGGAATGTCTCAGTTTCGCCAGAGACATATCTGTTAACATCTTGCCTGGCTGCTGGTGTTGTGGATCAGAAGAAGGAAGGGAAATTTGGTCTTATGGTTCAGTCTGCAGTCTCTAAAGACTAAAACCTTAGTCTTTTCTGTGCCTGATGTTCTCTACCTCTGAGTCTTCAGTTCAATTTCTCTGGAGAATAATCCTGTAGATTCCTGTGGAGACAGAATAGAGGTCTGTCATCTGATCCCATAGAGTGGGAGTTGTGTGGGGACCTGAGGATCCTAAGACTTTCAGATCACCCACCCAGTGCTTCACCCCTACTTCCCATTCTGCCTGTGTCCTCAGTTGCTATGTCTTTTAGAGCAGATTCATTTGTTTTAAATGTCTCACTGCAGGTCCTTAGGCTTGACCATCATCCCTTCTGCTGAGTAATTTGTCATCCTTCATATATTGTGGTTTACAGTTACAGATGACTCCTAGTTTAACTGATGATGGAGTTTCTGTTTTTTATCCTCTCTTGATTTGGGGTGATATTTGGTTTTTTTGTTTTTTGTTTTTTTCTGAGACTGAGTCTCGCTCTGTTACCCAGTCTGGAGTGTGGTGGCGTGATCTCGGCTCACTGCAACCTCTGCCTCCCAGGTTTAAGTGATTCCACTGCCTCAGCCTCCGGAGTAACTGGGATTACAGGCATGCGCCACCACACCCAGCTAATTTTTGTATTTTTAGTAGAGACGGGGTTTCACCATGATGGCCAAGCTGGTCTTGAACTCCTGACCTCAAGTAATCCACCTGCCTCGGCCTCCCAAAGTGCTGAGATTACAGGGGAGAGCCACCACGCTCAGCCAATCTGGGGTGATATTTGAAAGAAAGAAGGCAACAAACACTGTTTTTAAAACTGAAAACTTAATATTAAATGTAATGGTAAAGTAGGACTTTTATTTTCTCAGTGAAATATTTCTTTTTCTAAACATTTTTGTCTAAACTGTGGCATATTACCTTTCATTTCTGTTTTGATAAATCCTTATGTTGACAAAACAATTAACTGTCATTAAGAAAAAAAAACAACCAATTCTCATGCTTTTCTGTTGATGGGAATACTGACATATTATTTGTTCAGATTTCAAAGCAGATTGTAATGTACACCTTATTTAAATTTATTACCTACCACTGAGCAAGATTAGGTATTACAGGAAAACTACCAGTTTGAGAACTCAAATTTTTATCTCCAGTAATCTAGTATAATATAATTTGCACGTTATTGTTTCTTGTTTCCATAGTTTTCTTTGTACAATGGCAAAGACTGAAATTGCTGAAGAATATTAAACTGTGGTCTTTCTCTTCCCCCAGGTTCTTTTAGAGCAAGATATATTTCATCATTCCTTGATGGCTTGTTGTTTGGAAATTGTGCTCTTTGCCTATAGCTCACCTCGTACTTTTCCTTGGATTATTGAAGTTCTCAACTTGCAACCATTTTACTTTTATAAGGTAAGATGAAAACAAAGTTCTGTTATGAGATGAAAACAGTGTTTCTCACAGAAACATTGTATTTATCTTAGTGCTGAAGAAAAACACTGTTGTGATGTCTGGAAAATGTTTCCAGATGTGTTCTGAAAATATATATTCCTGGCTGGGTACGGTGGCTCATGCCTGTAATCCCAGCACTTTGGAAGGCCAAGGTGGGAGGATCACCTGAGGTCAGGAGTTCGAGACCAGCCTGGCCAACATGGTGAAACTCCATCTCTACTAAAAATACCAAAAAAAAGTAGCCGGGCATAGTGGCGAGCACCTGTAATCTCAGCTGCTCAGGAGGCTAAGGCAGGAGAATTGCTTGAGCCTGGGAGGTGGAGGTTTGCACTCCAGCCTAGACGACAAGAGCAAAATTCTGTCTCAAGAAAAAAAAATGATAATATATATTCCTTTTGGGTGAAACCAGGAACACAAGAGACAGTTGAGCATACAGTGGCTCACATCTATAATCCCAGCACTTAGGAAAACTGAGGCTGGAGGATGGCTTGAGTCCAGGAGTTTGAGGTTACAGTGAGCTATGATTGTGCCATCACACCACTCCAGCCTGGGCACCTAAGCAAGACCTTGTTTCAAACAAAAAAAAGGAGAGAGAGAAGGTGAGAGTATCAGTAAATTAAGTCAATCTTATAGCTTCAGTTCCTTTGTTATCACAGACTTGAAAATATGACCTGGAACTAGTACTTAACTTCATATTTTCCCTATTTATGAATGAAAATTATAATCCTGTTAAACAAATGCGTGGTGAAGAACAAAAAACACTTTCTACCAAGAGGAAAAAAGACCTAAAATTGATTTTGGTGATAGTCTAACTAATAAAGCTGTAATAATAGATTATGCTTCTTCCCCAAGTTTGAGCTAATTCAGTGTGAATGAATCTTAAGTATTTTTCTTACTACAACTATTTTTATTATCTTTTCAAAATAAAACAGAGGTCATAGCTATTGAACTACATCATCACCCTCAATAACATTTAGTCATCACAGTCAATAACGTTTAATGTTACATAGTATCGAAATTTAAGACTAATGCTACTGTTATGCTTCTTGGCATGATTTAGTTAATATTTAGTCATCTAGGCTACTTTTCTACTGGTGATAGAAAAATTGGTTTGAAGAGTTAAATTTTTATACCTAAAGTATGCCTGAATTAAAGTTGTAGAAAATGCAGGTCATTGGAAAACTTATCTCTGTGAATTATTGAGTGTGATTAAAGTATTTTTAGGTTTCTTAGGGAGAAGTGATTCTACTATACACTTACTTTAATGTTAATGTATATATTCAACTTTTGCCATTAGGAAAAAGTTTAGTTTTGTCAACAACCTCATACTAATTTGTTTTTATTTGTAACATCCTTATTTTATTCAAGAAGCTAAATGCCTTTTTTTTTTGTAGAGACTTGGTTTCACTATGTTGCCCAAGCTGGTCTCGAACTCCTGGGCTTAAGCAGTCCTCTCACTGTGGCCTCCCAAAGTGTTGGGATTACAGGCATGAGTCACTGTGTCGCCCTCCTTTGTTTTTTTAAACGACATAAATGATGTGTGCTGCTTGAAGAAAATCATAAACATAAATGTGGGCCGGGCGCAATGGCTCACGCCTATAATCCCAGCACTTTGAGAGGCCGAGGCAGGCAGATCATGAGATCAGGAGATTGAGACCATCCTGGCTAATATGGCAAAACCCCATCTCTACTAAAAATACAAAAAATTAGCCGGGCATCATGGCACGTGCCTGTAGTCCCAGCTACCTGGGAGGCTAAGGCAGGAGAATGGCTTGAACCTGGGAGGCAGAGATTGCAGTGAGCCAAGATGGCGCCATTGCATTCCAGCCTGAGCAACAGAGCAAGACTCTGTCTCAAAATAAATAAATAAATAAATGTGAATATTAAAGTCATACATCATAATCTAATTATTACTCCTATTATTAATATTTTATGTATATAAACTTTATTCTGGATACTTCCCTTATTAAAATGGAATTATAGTATATATAAGCAAAGTCACTTTAAATAGTTCATTCATTCTGTTATTTTGAGTTAGTGGAAAAAGTAGTCTGGAAAGGAACAATACATTTAAAATAGAACTAGACTTGGAACCTAACACCTGACTTCTCCCACTGTTGGGCTGTTGACCAGTTATCACCTATCATTGCCTCAGGTTGTCATTTTTAAAATAAAACGTGAAAAACAGAAATGTATGTGAACATATTTTAAAGAACTTAAAAGCTCCTTTATAAATTAGAAGATGTTAGTAAGCCACAGAATTATGGTTCAAAGATGATTTTGGTTCTGTGCCACAGAATAAGGCCACAGTGGCCGGGTGCAGTGACTCACACCTGTAATCCCAACACTTTGGGAGGCCTAGGCGGGCAGATCACCTGAGGTCAGGAGTTCTAGACCAGCCTGGCCAACATGGTGAAACCTCAGCTCTACTAAAAACTACAAAAATTTGCCAGGTGTGGTGGCAGGTGCCTGTAATCCCAGCTACTCGGGAGTCTGAGGCAGGAGAATCATTTGAACCCGTGAGGCAGAGGTTGGCAGTGAGCCAAGATCGCACCACTGCTCTCCAGCCTGGGCAATAGAGGGAAACTCTGTCTCAAAAAGAAGAAGAAAGCCACAGCTAGTCCTACATGCAAGTCCAGACTAGAACTAACTGCTTGAAACCACATTGCCTTCTCACCTTTCTCCTCTGCAGGTTATTGAGGTGGTGATCCGCTCAGAAGAGGGGCTCTCGAGGGACATGGTGAAACACCTGAACAGCATTGAAGAACAGATTTTGGAGAGTTTAGCATGGAGTCATGATTCTGCACTATGGGAGGCTCTCCAGGTTTCTGCAAACAAAGTTCCTACCTGTGAAGAAGTGAGTCTGGGCAAGGCTGATAATCCTATCATTAAAAAAAATAAAAAATAAAAAATAAAATAGCTTTATTGAGAGATAATTCCTATGCCATACAGTTCACCCATTTTAAGTGTACAATTCAGTGGTTTTAGTATGTAAATAGATATGTGCAGCCATAACCACAATTTTAGAATATATTCATCACTTCAAAAAGAAACGTACATCCTTTAGCTATCACTTCCCTACCCCTGTATCTTCTCCCTAGCTCTAAGTAACTGCTAATCTACTTTCTGTCTCCGTAAATTTGCCTATTCTAGACATTTCATATAAATGGAATCATAAAAATGTAGTTCCTTTTGACTGGGTGTCTGTCGCTTAGCATAATGTTTTTAAGGTTCATCCATGTTGTAGAATGTATCAGTATTTCATTTCCTCTTTTTTTTTAAGGTGGGGTTTCCCTCTGTTGCCCGGGCTGGTGTGCAGTGTTGCAAATGTGGCACACTGACTGCACCCTCAACTTCCTCGGCCCAAACGGCCCTTCTGCCTCTCAAGTAGCTGAGACCACAGGCACATACCACCACACCCAAACCCGGCTAATTTTTTTTTCTTTCTGTTTTTCTTTTTTTAAGACGGAGTCTTGCTCTGTCACCCAGGCTGGAGTGCAGTGGCGCAATCTCAGCTCACTGCAACGTCTGCCTCCCGGTTCAAGCAATTCTCTGCCTCAGCCTCCCGAGTAACTGGGACTATAGGCACCCACCACCACGCCCAGCTAATTTCTTTGTATTTTTAGTAGAGAAGGGGTTTCACCGTGTTAGCTAGAATGGTCTTCCAAAGTGCTGGGATTACAGGTATGAGGCACTGCGCCTGGCCTGTCTTCACTTTCTTGATGGTGTCTTTGAAATGCAAATATTTTTAATTTTGATGATGTCCAATTCAGATATTTTTTTCTTCTGCTTGTGCTTTTTGGTATCATGTCTAGGAAACCGTTAAACTTATTTAAAATTTTTCAAATGTCTGTATAAAGATTGAACACTTTTCATTAGTGGCATTTAGAATTAAAAAATAAAAAACAGAGGCCGGCCACAGTGGCTCATAACTGTAATCCCAGCACTTTGGGAGACCAAGGCGGGTGGATTGCCTGAGGTCAGGAGTTCGAGACTAGACTGGCCAACATGGTGAAACGCTGTCTCTACTAAAAATACAAAAAAATTAGCCAGGCATGGTGGCACACACCTATAATCCCAGCTACTTGGGAGGCTGAGGCAGGAGAATTGCTTGAACCCGGGAGGCGGAGGTTGCAGTGAGCTGAGATGGTGCTGTTGCACTCCAGCCTGGACAACAGAGCAAGACTCTGTCTCAAAAAAAATTAAATAAATAAATAAATAAAAATTAAAGATGTGTGCCCAGAGTTGTACACAAATTACATTTTTAATAGTAGTATCGTGAGAAATCGAAGTGTTGTTTTTTTTCTCTACTTCTGTTATTCTTTTGTAACTCCTGTCTTTTGATTCTTCTTTGTTTTGTCTCCTTATGTACTTCATTAGTCTTCTTAAATTTTTCCCTAATCCCAAACTACTAGAACTGTCCAAGGCCAGGAGGAATTGAAAAGAAGATGGTTGCTTGAAATCTCTCTTCCATACTTCTTTGGTCTTTTGCAGCAGACAGTAACTTACTGGGCCATTCTTCAGTGTTCATCAGTTTATTTCCATTGAAGAACTTCAAACTCTTTCAAGTTCAAAAAAGCTGTGAACTCGAAGAAGGATTAGTATTGAAGCCGTTGCTCTTATAACTTACTAGTTGTATGACTTTGGGCAAATTTCACATTCAGATCCTCAATTTTCTCATCCCTAAATGGAGAATGATACTGCCTACCTCATAGGTTTAGTTCTTGTGGTTGGTAACTTACCTATATAAATTATAAGGTTAAATGAAATGAACTCTTTCCATAAGTTTGTTAACATTAAGAATTGAGCACTTTATCCAAGTTATATTTTGTGAAGAAGTGAGAAAGAGAAATAAAATAGTAAAAAATAAAAGTTAAGAAAACACTTTTTCGGCCAGGCACAGTGACTCGCGCCTGTAATCCCAGCACTTTGGGAGGCTGAGGTGGGTGGATCATCTGAAGTCAGGAGTTCGAGATCAGCCTGGCCAACATGGTGAAACCTCGTCTCTACTAAAAATACAAAAATTAGCTGGGTGTGATGGCATGCACCTGTAGTCCTAGCTACTCAGGAGGCTGAGGCAGGAGAATTACTTGAACCCGAGAGGTGGAGGTTGCAGTGAGCCGAAATCGTGCCACTGCACTCCAACCTGGGCAACAGAGTGAGACTTTATCTCAAAAAAAGAAAAGAAAAGAAAACATTTTTAATAAGTTTTAATCAGCAAGTTTATATGTAAACCCAAGGGTTTTTGTTTTCTACAGGTTATATTCCCAAATAACTTTGAAACAGGAAATGGAGGAAATGTACAGGGACATCTTCCCATGATGCCAATGTCTCCTCTAATGCACCCAAGAGTCAAGGAAGTTCGAACTGACAGTGGGAGTCTTCGAAGAGGTAGGTTCAACATTGGTAAAGGAATGAAAAAGTAACAAAGGGTATTTGGGTTTTTTTTCAGAGAAAATTTTAAGTCTTGTGAGTATATTATTAAGAAATCTAATTTTTTCAGCAGGATTCAAAACGGAGCTTGATGCTTGTGCCAGCACCCCTGTGTAGCTCATTGTACACTACATTATATACTATAATATATATATTATATACTATAGTGTATACTATATTAATATAATTTTAAATATAATTTATTTAATAAATGTATGTAATCTTTCCTGAATGCTAATGGAGAACTGTTTAAATAAGCTAACGTCAGGCATGATGGCATCTTTCTGTAGTCCTAGCTGCTCAGGAGGCTGAGGCAGGAGGATTGAGGATTGTGTTTGAACCCAGCCTGGGCAAAATAGTGAGACCCCCCTCATGTCCCAAAAAAAAAGAAAAAGAAGAAAGGAAAAAAAAAAAGATAAGTGTATTAGTCTCTTCTCATGCTGCTAATAAAGACATACCCAAAGCTAGGTAATTTATAAAGGAAAGAGGTTTGATTTACTCACAGTTCCACATGACTGGGGAGGCCTCACAATCATGGTGGAAGGCAAAGGAAGAGCAAAGGCACCTCTTACATGGCAGCAGGCAAGAGAGCTTGTGCAGGGGAATTCCCCTTGATAAAATCATCAGATCTCGTGAGACTTATTCACTATCAGAGAACAGCATGGGAAAGACCCACCCCCATGATTCAATGACCTCCCACCTGGTCCCTCCCATGACACGGAATTATGGGAATGACAATCAAGATGAGATTTGGGTGGGGATGCAGCCAAACCATATCACTAAGCTAAATACCTACTTTTCCAAATTTCACAAATTTATATTCTTCCTTTGCCTGTGTATGTCTCTGTAGAAAAACATTTAAAGCAAAATAAAATTTGTATTATCTTTGGAATGCTTAAGTTCATCTAATAAACTAGTTATTTATACTCTTAAAATAGTTCATTTTGAAACTCACCAATAGAAATATTTTAGTTCATTCTTCCTTATTTTCTCTTGTGACGTAGCGAGCTGATGTGTGCATCTTGTGGATTATATAGTTCTTGGATTTTAAAAAATCAGTTAAAATCTCCTGACCACATAGTATCCCTTAACAAATCTTAGATGAACAAGTATTCAGGTTACATAGTATAGTACATCCATTTTTGGACTCTGTGTGATTGTGTATGTGTGTTTGTCTGTCTGTCCGTCTGCAGTCTTTGCTTTACATGCAGTGCAGGATCATAAAAATGACTGCAGGCCAGGCACAATGGCTCACACCTGTAATTCCAGCACTTTGTGAGGCCGAGGCGGGCAGATCACCTGAGGTCAGGAGTTCAAGACCAGCCTAGCCAACATGATGAAACCCCATCTCTACTCAAACACAAAAATTAGCTGGATGTGGTGGCGAGCACCTGTAATCCCAGCTACTCAGGAGGCTGAGGCAGGAGAATCACTTGAACCCAGGAGGTTGCAGTGAGCCAAGATCACACCACTGGACCCAACCTGGGGGATGGAGCAAGACTCTGTCTCAAAAAGAAAAAAAAGGCCGGGCGCAGTGGCTCACGCCTGTAATCCCAGCACTTTGGAGGGCTGAGGCGGGTGGATCATGAGGTCAGGAGTCAGACCAGCCTGCCAAGATGGAGAAACCCATCTCTACTAAAAATACAAAAATTAGCTGGGCGTTGGTGGCGGGTGCCTGTAAATCCCAGCTATTCGGGAGGCTGGGCAGAGAATCAACTTGAACCTGGAAAGATGAGGTTGCAGTGAGCTGAGATCACACCATTGCCCTCTAGCCTGGTGACAAAGCGAGACTCCATCCCTAAAAAAAAAAAATTGTGTAAGGCTAAAGTCAGGCATAGTGGCTCACACCTGTAAGTCCCAGCACCTTGAAGAGGCCCGACGCGGTGGATCATCTGCAGCCTCATCTCGGCAGCCTGGCTACAC